TTATTAGGCACCATGAGCTGTTTAAAACATTGTTTCCGGAACGTAAACTAATTCCCAAACATCATTTCATGACACATTACTCTTATGTTATTAGAAAATCTGGTCCATTAATTAATCTTTGGGCAATGAGGTTCGAGGGCAAGCATAATTATTTCGTGCAGTTAGTTAGCCAAATAAAGAGTTACAAAAATATTTGCTTGTCGCTGGCCAACAGGCATCAACAACATATGTCTCACGTTATATCTAGACACGATTTGAGTGACGATATGAAAATAGATATTATTTTCCCAGTGCTGTTGTCACAAATTTCGGATTCTTTTGACTTAATTGAGTTACTTCGAGGATTTAAAGGTTGCGAAAAATTTGATGAGAAGACCTCAATATTTACGACCAATCAAGTTTGGTTTCGAGGGTATAATTATAGATATAATTTTGTTGTATGTTATGAGATAGGACCAGTTTTCCCAAAGTTCGGCATAATTTCTGAATTTATTGTTTTAGAAGATAATTGTTGTTTAATACTGCTTAAGGAACTAGAAGTAAAATATTTTTATCGAAATTTGTTTGCTTATAAATTATCTCCCGTACAGGACCGCTTTAAATTAATTAACATCAGTAGTTTAGTAATTCATGACGCTATGGAAATTCAAAATAATTGTAAATTAGATGGTATGTATGTTATTTGTAGACATCACTTATAGCTAGTTTGTATTGAACCTCATATGTAATATTTATTATAATATTTTTTTAGTTTTTTCAATAAAAAAAATATGCAGCACAAATTATTTTAATTAATGCGATTTTTATTTAAGCCTCACCAGAGTTGCTTCCTAAATCTCACCAAACAGTGTAAAATCGATAATTTATCAGTGTCAATGGTCATCACCATCACCGTGTTAACGATATTATGGAATGGGGATGAATTCTCACCGTGTTGGTGCTAAATCTTATTTACACCAACGGGGAGGATTTCACACCAAAACGGTGTAGCCGCATAATCTCTCCGCGCGGTGTAAATCCGGTGAGGATATTTCTTGCAGTGTAGATATTGGAGGTTGAAGGTTGGAGGGCGAGATTTTGGCATGGATATAAATATATACTGATATCTCGAGGATTTCACCCGATATCCGCAGAGCTCTGGTCAAGAGTACCAGGGTTAACTTGTCGTTGCCATTAAAACCAGAATTAAAAGTATGATACCACACCGGTTTGTATAGCTTTGAGAAATCATATCCCCATTTTTTTTACCTTAAAAAACTATCTACGAGATGAGTTGTCACGCTAAAAACTATATGTCCATTATCCTGACTACGCTGATTAATTAATTAAATCCTTACCTCCTGCTTATACCCAGCACGTCCCATATACTGAGATAATTCCAACTCGACCAAGGAATCCTTCACCTGTCCCAGCATCTTGGTCACCTTGGCCAAATCGAGCATAGGAAACTTCACATCGCGCATTAAGAATTCAAATTTTAACAGTTTTAGACTTCTGCACCCCTCCAAATTTGGACAGAGGGACGCCGCGATGATCAAAGTGGTCAAATTTGGGGCAGCATCGATCCATATTTGGATAAGGGGATGAATTTCGAGATAACTCGTGGTCTGGAAGGGTCCAAAGTCTGAAAGAAGTCTTAACTTGAGCGCGATCAAGGCATGTTGCAGGGGGAGTTTTTGGTACGCATCAGGGGGAATTGTGTAGCCGTCACTGTCGTCTCCCCAGGCGCCGCGGATTTTAATGCGCTGGATTTTTGTAGACCCCAACATCCTTATTTCGTCGAGAAAAGCGGGAATAAATTCCTTCTGGCCGGCGACAAATTTAATTTCTCGAGTTAATTGAGACACTTCCGGCAATTCGGTGAGAGCCTTCGTGATAATGAAAGTCTTCTCTTTGTTGGATGGAAAGGATGGGTCGAATTCTCCAGAAATGAAGAGGCGTCGGATCAGTGCGTCGTTGACGGGGGGAACCTCGTCGAAATTGGGGGCATTGTAGGAAAAAAGCTGGTTGACCTGGAGATATTCCCGTTTTCCTAGTTCGGTGGAGGCGACGTCGTTCCAGTCGTGGCAGACGAGACGAAAAGTTTTTAGATCGAGGAGACTGAGATTGGCGAAGATGGCGTCGAGAATCTGGGGCAAGATGGAAAATTAGAATTTAGCAGGTTACATAAATTATTTACTATTCATTTGTATAAGGTGACGTTCAGAAATTATGTTCATAAAAACGCCACAGAGGTCTAAGGCTGTGATGATATCGAGCGTGTGTGAAAAAGCGTAAAGAGGGAAGGTGGGGGTCCAGAAAATTGCAATTTTGACGTCAAATAATTCATGGACGGCCCCTAATTAAGTGCTTGGAAAAGGTTAACTGACCAAGGGATTCCTGAAAACTTTAGACATTGCGTCGTTATCTTGGACCCGAGCTTCTTCCGAGTCTGGAATTAAACGGAGTGAATATACATAGAAAATATTAAAATTTCTCGAAATAAGGAAATTTTAATTTTTTCGATGAAAATATAAAACATTTACTTAAATTTGGAAAGTTCCTAGCTTCTCCTGAAGAAGTTGGCCTCAATTTCATTGTTGGTCTGATTTTGATCACTGAAATCCGCCTCGTTCGGTATATTTATTGTGGAGTGAGTGGGTCGCCCGTGCCTAAAATTAGTAATTAATAATTGCCAATTGCCAATTATGTACATATGTCTGAGCACAAAATATGAAACTATTTATCAATGATAAATTATCATGTCACTCTTAATAAAAATGCTTGCATGAAATTATTAAATGCTGAAACCTATTGATTAATTATTTAAGTTACTTAGTTTTGTATTCACTTAAGCAAACCATAAGCTTGAACAACTTTTATTCAATGTCCAAGCATTCTGTGTTTTAAGTCTGAGTTGTTCAGCTTGTCTGATTTCTTCTCTTATCGAAAGCTTAACTACTAAATTTTAATATTATTTAATATTCTTCGGATTACGATTACCTCATCTATCAGATAAGATTATGGTTCTCATTATTTATGATAACGTTTCTTATGCATGGTCCGTAAAATTATATTTATTGTTAAGTCGGAATTTGGACTCGAGGCTAAGAATAGAATTCTGAGTATCCATCAGAAAAAGGTTCATAGATAAATATGTACGGTATCAAAATCATTATAACTCGGAACCAACATTGTAACCAAGGCGGTGAAGCCATATATTGACACCGGCGGTGTTGATTTGACAAATTTTTGTTTTGAGTGTATAAATTTGATCCTTTATATATGACTCTACCAAGGTGGTATTAATAAGTAATAGCTCGGTTTTAAAGTTTTACCATATCGGTATTAGATTTTTACGGACCGGTAAAATTTTAATACCAGACGGTAATAACATTAATACCGAGAACTCAATACCGTGACTATGCCAGATTTCTAACAATGTACGTACTTATTCATCATTTCAGGAAGCAGACATGGCTCTAAATGAGAATATTCTTCATGTAAAATTTCATGATCTTTAAGATGATATCTTCTTAATCATGAACTTAAGACATTTAGCTTTTTAATTTTGAATTTGCACTTTAAATGATGAATCATACTACCAGGCTTTCCCGTGTTGCTACAAATACTTTCTCAGAAACTTTTGAATATTTATTAATAACCGTCCCTTCAATTATTAAATACATACAATACTGCATGAATATGTTGGGGACCATGCATGACTGCCCTAAAACTTAATTTTTTAAATGTAACCACGTTTTCCACTGGAAAATTACCAGTATATCAGGAACTCATGAAACTTGACAGGTGAAAATAGCCTCCCTGAAACTCCCCACGTCCTTTATGCACGGCCCCTTTTTCCATTTCATTCCGAGCCCGGCCAGAATTGCCCAGAGTTTACACGGCGGGTCTGCTCTCACCTGCTGCTCGAGTAAAATATTTATAAACATTCCACCAATTAATTAAATGAGTTTACTATTTTTCCCAAAAAATTGCTGAAGCATTACAACTACTTTGCCAATTAATAATTGCCAATTATCCGTTATGATGATGGATAAATCTCTCTCTCCCGTCATCGTGCTGCTCAGAGCCGTACCGTGAAATTTTCAGGCCTGGTATGAGCTTCAGTGCCGGGCCCTTCATGTTAAATATATTCGATATTACGCAATCGTTTTCGCTCCAGAATACTAGTAGTATTTAGGAACGAAGTAATATTTTACCTATTTAGAGCACACTATTTTCCCAGATCCACGGGAAAATAGTGACAATTAAATTGTAATTTTAAATTGCTCAGACACCGAAATAACTCGAACCATAATTTTCGTTTTCCTGAATGTTCGTGTTTTCGGTTGTGCCAGAATTTGTTAATACATTTTAAGCCAAATCAGGGTTTTTCAGAGTAATAAATTTTTACCCCATTTCAAAAAATGAAAGCACTTTATTGCACAGAATTACATTGAGTTTAAGAAACTTCCACAATTCAAAAAAAATTTCGAATTTTCTGGTCTGTAACATTTTTTCAAAATTTCGAAATAGCATCAAAATTTCAAACATTAAAAGTTTTTCCAAAAACAGTTTTTATAATTTTATTGAGGTAATTTTTTAGCAAACATGTTACTTGCTTGTTGAAATAGAGTTAAAATTTTAAAATTAACAACGTTTTGAAAAATCCTGCTTTGGCTGACAATGTATTCAAAACTTCTTCCACAACCGAAAACACGAACATTCAGGAACATGAAAATTACCGTTCGGGTTATTTGGGTGCGTGAGCAATTTAAAATTGGTCGGGTCAAAATTTGAGGAAACCACTTCATGCCGACCCATTTTAACCTTAAACGAATTATCATGCATGGATTTAGTATGCGAGAATCTGTATTTTTCTCCCTCGCATGAAAATATCACGGTAAAAATAGAAATTCTCGCTTACGGATTCCGTCATAATTTCATTTAAGCTGAGCATTATGAAAAATCCTGAAACACGTGTTCAATTATTTGTCTAAGGTTACATAATTATCGTGGTTTCGTCAAAATCGGAGCGAGACCTCTGGCGTCGTCGCATTGCCGATTAAGGGGCCTAAGTTTATACCAAAGTTTGTCCCTGGCTTATGGTAAATTTGCTCCCTAGCAAGGCACATTTCAAGTTGCCAAAAAACATGAAGGTTCAGCTAAGATGACGATTTTGCATATTAATTTAAGATTCGAAAGTCAGGCTATTAAAATTAAAAATTGTCCAGTATGTCTGCTCAAATTCATACAAAAATAATTACCCATGAAATACAAATAATATCTAGCAGTTTAATGTTAGGTACATATAAACAAAAACTTTTTTTTAATCTTCAATAGACAAAAGGTCCATTATACCTAGTGGAAAGCTAGCGACCGAGCCCGGGCCCCTGCGGGCCCCGGGCCTGGTATTTGCTGCCACCATATACCACTGTTGGTACGGTACTGGTGCTGCTTAAACAAGTCGAAAGCAGTGAAATTGTTGACGACTTGTTTGAAATAAAAATTAAAAAGTGCTCAATTTGTGGCTCGTCACGAGGTCATTGCCACATGACTAAGTCGCAACACCGCTCCTTTCGCTAGCTCGTCGTGACGAATCCTCCGGTTCGGAAAAGCCTGCAGATTTGTCCCCCTTGTCGGCAACATTTGGACCAATTAAGCAAACTGAAGGAGGAAATGGAGAAATTGAGCGGGACGATAGACGAGATGGTGAAATTAATCAGGTTGAAGATGAAATATCAAGACGGGCGCAAAACGGCGAGGAGGAGAAAGAGCGATTCAGGTTTTTATTTATTAAACTTAAGAAAACTTGTAAATGGGAAGGTGAAAATGTTCGTTTTTTAAAACTAGATCCATCATACTTGAATGACAAGATGAGCTTATTGTCCACACTTTCTGAAAATCTTGCCAGTGACGACGACGTAAAACCAGTAATTCTGAATTATGAAGATGACCAGCTTGATAGTTGCTTGAATGAAGAGCGAAGACTTATTGAAGAGGGAATAATACTGCAACCAGATGAACGCCCAGGTTGAATAAATCGCAGAGTATTTAATTAAACTAATTGGTAATTACAATTTGCATACCTAGAAATCAAACGTAAACAACCTGGGCCCTGGAGAAAAACAAGGAAGAGGAAAGGAGACGAAATTGTACCAGAAAATGTAAAGAAAGGGAAAACAGGAAAATGATAGTAAAATAAAGGACAGAGATATGACCAGGTAGTGGAAATAAGTTTTTCTAATTAATATTAATAAAAAAACATGTTAAGGTTGTTTACAAACTAATTATAATTTTTTTGGACAGCTTCTTAAAAATCGAACGGAAGAAAGAAGAAGAAAATATCCAGAAATGGGCTTTATGCATATTTTCAGACAATGAGGCTGCGTGGCGACAGTGTGACGATGCAGAAATGATCCTTCCCGACGGCAATGATAACAATAACGGCAGTAATAAATTTATTACCGAGGCTGAAACCACGGAAGCTTTTTTGCCTTCAGATTACTCGTCGGGGGTCGAGTTAACACCAATTATTCGACCTCTACCAACCCCACATGTACATTTATTTATTTCGGTGAGAAAAGGGCCATCCATATATTACGTAATCAAAAATTCTCGATTTTACCACCCACCAAACTAATAGGGAAGAGATAGGGAATTTTAACACGGGAAAGATAGGAAAACCTAAGCCACCCACTAAAATAATACCGTAACATATGGACGTTCCCGGAATTGGACAAAATGTACATATGCATTTCATTTTTTAGGGAAAACCATTCATCCCAGGTTCAGAAGCCGTCTGCCCAAACTGTGGAACGCGATCGAGGGATTTGCATTTCTGCGAGTACTGCAAAATTCGATTCTCGGATGCCACAAAAATTATCAAGGTAGGTAAAAGAATTGCAAAATAAACGGTAGTAATTTAAAAACATTTATTTACAGTGACTACACTGTAAATAATCTGGTAATAAACATTACCAAAAAGCACAAGTATATGACTCTACCAAAGTGGTAATGATAAGTTGTACCGTGTGGTAATGGCTTAAGTATTATTTACCATCATGGTGACGAATTTTTACTACCTCGTAAAATATTATTACTAAATTTATTATCGAGAAATCATTACCTGCGTGACTTTACCGGATTATTAAGAGTGTATGACTTTACTTTTTAACTTTTAAACATTAATTCCAGGTTGGAAAACAAGTGGAAAGAGCTGAACTGGGCGAGTTACTTGATGGAAGTGGAAACGAGGACAGTAACGATGGTCAAAATCTAGGTATGAACAAAGCAAATTTGAGAGTAATTATTAGAATTGTACAATGTGTCGTGTCATATTTATTTGTCTTAAATGTCTGACACTGACATAATTGATAAACCAACGTCGGATATGAATGATGGATAAAACCTCAATATCCTTATGAATGAAAAATAACTATAAAAATCCACAAAATATGCCTATAAAATGACTGAATTATACTAAATTTTTATGAATTCTATAAGTTCTGGGTGATTTAACACATTACCAGTGAATTACATCATCCCAGACGAAAGTGAATGTAAATTTGTATACATTTTTTTAAATGAATCATTTTGATAAACCTGAATTTTTTGTTATTTTCTGGTAATCAATAGGAAAAAATTCATATTTCATCCATATCCGACGTTTGTTGATAAATGTCATGACAGAGCTCATGCACATAAATGTCTGACATCTAAAACCCAATTAAAAATAATTACGTAATTATTTCATAATTAGCTGTACAATTTGTAATATTTTCAGGGTCGAGTCAATCGGGTGAAGTCGAAATTCAGCTTTCATCCGAAAAATTAGCACCTGCGAAACCGCCACCATCTAATTTTTCACCTGACACAAAAATAACCCTTCAGTGTCGCACCGTCAACGTGGGGACTAATCAAATTCAGGCTGCCGGTTTGAATGGATTTCTTCTTGTGACCATTTGCAAGGAGGGGGTCAAATTCGCAATGCCGCACACTCAATTCGGTTCATTTATTTACACTCTCAATAATTTTTTGAAAATATTGTTACCGGCGGAGGTACTATGCAATTCTACAGCTCGGGTAATAATTTATCACCGAAGGGTAGCATATATATAGAGGCTAAATCCTGCGCAGCCCCTAATATCAACGCTCAGGTAATAAAAATATTACCGATTCCGGAGGCAATTTCTTACACTCAGAAGACAATTTGTTACTATATTGTGATGTTACCACGCGGTAGGGTTGTACAGTATCTCCGCGGTAACAATTTTGTCACAAAATTATTGAGAGTGCACTTGATTATACAATTTTTAATGAACGTGCATACTCACGGCAATATCTTGTTTCGCATCGCAACTTTTTTTAGCAAACTTTCGAAGATAAAAAAAATCCTTTTTGTCGTGAGATGATTCGCGATATTTGACTTTGACAAATATCGCCAATCTATAATTAGAAATAGGTATTTTAATCTTGTTTCCATCGATTTCACTAATTTTCTTTTGCTGGTGAGTTTTGTGAAGTAAGAACAAGCCCGATCTGAGATTGGGTATCGGAGGTTTGCAAAAAAAACTCCCAAGGTATTCCAGCAAAAGTTTTGCAAATTTCTAACAAGTTATGTTGCTAAGCTCAATTTGCGAGATATGCGAAGGTTGACGTGAGTATGCTCAATAGCGATTTATTATACACATTTATGTCAGCATGCTAGAAGATAACAGGTCGAAACTGTTAATCTTATCCACGAAGGAAGCCTGTAAAGTGTTGCATACCGATGAATTCCATTACCCAATTTGAAATTCATCCTCGCGTGGTCTCCCTCAGCCTGCAGGCAAAATCTTATCTGGACAAGCTGAGAATGTCGTTGGGATTTAGTAGCAATCCTGAAGACGCCAGCTACCACTATCATCCGCGCAGTAAAAGTATGCTTAAGGAGGGAAACTTCTGAGGTGCCGGTCGAATCCAGGTTCCCACATGTACCGCTCGTAACAAATATCGTCACAACTTGACGAATAGTAATTTTTGCACGTAAATTCTTTCACTTTACGTCATATTGTGCTCATTTTGGTATATGTGGGAACCCTGGATTCAACCGGCACCTCAGAAGTTTCCCTAGTAAGTAGGGGAGTTTCTGAGGTGTCGGTCGCGTCCACGGTACGCCCACCGTGTTTTTAGAATCTACTACACCCAAGGAAAGATACATTCATATTTCCATGAAAAACATATACTTTGCGTCGTGGCGTGGCGCCAAATTTAAAAATATTCATTTTCGACCAACTTCATGCCTCTATAACTTTTGCAGTTTACATATGTCGCATTTCCACCATTTAGTGCCTAAAATGATCACAAAGTTTTAAGAAAAAAATACAAACCAAAATGTAAGAAAATTACGAAGACGATTGTGAAAAATTAAAAAACTCAATTTTATGAAAAATTTCAGTGCATATACCGAAGATGAATTTTTTTATAATTTGTAATAATCAAGACATGAAATTCCGGCCTGGATTTCAAGACTTATGACGGGTTTAAAATTAAAACCACTAAAATTTAAATTTACGGCGTTAAATATGAGTTTTGCATAAAAATATGACAGAATCCTTCATCTAGGGTCTTAGCTGATTTTACATAAAAAATATCCCTGGCACGACGAGCACCTTGGAAGTTTCCCTTGTAAGATTATGTATGTACCCTGTTGAAGTTGAAGACTAATTACTATTTTTACATGCTTATTTAGATCCCCATCGGACGAAAATTACCTTTATTTCCAAAGATAGCATGATGAACAGGATGCCCATGCTAAAGTTGCTCATTCCCAGCCCAGCTTATACACTTTATGCACTTGATAAAGTCCCGGGGATCCAATCTGAAAAGATCATCCGTTTAACTAGAAAGCGTTAAAAAACGGAATTTAGCTCTTACAAAATTCGATCTGTGATAATTTCGTACTGTTTGAACACGTGTTTTGTTACCAACCTTGAAAATTAGCATGTTGATAAACCTTGTAAAAATAATAATTGAAAAGACGTAATAAATAATTTGTGATAATAATGAATAATAAGTAATAATATTTTTTCAAGGTACTCAGCCGGGTAAACCGGGTACTAAAAATTACCCGGTACTCACCGGGTATTCGGAAAAGTGACCGGGTAGCTGCTCGGTAACGATCCTATAATTAGATAGGTTCACGTTAAGGGGCCGTAACGCGAAAATCGCGATTTTCTAGACCCCCCTTTAACATGTGTAACATAGGCACGATATCATTGAAGCTTTTGGCCCCACTCTCGAATGACATAATTTATGGACCGTCCCTAAGAAATTCGCCTTGTAATTTTCACCACATTGTAAATACTCTAGTAATAAAAATAACCGAAAAGCATAAGTATATGTATGACTGCCAAAGTGATAATGACACCTTGACCTTTATATTTTTGCTGTGGGGGCGTTCATAAATTATGTCACTCCCAAACCTCCATTTTCTAGACTACCTCCCTACAACATGGCCACGATATCATTGGAGCCTTAAACCCCACTCCCCCCTCCCTCTCGGGTCACACAATTAATGAAGGGCGCCTGTGCCTTTCCGTCTGCTACACCGAGTTTTGTATTATCATTGTAAAACGCTAATATGCTTCTTGACATGGTATATCCTATTATAGGATAGATATAGGATTCCTATATATATACACCATCTACTCCACTGGGCACAGGTATACGAAAACACATGTCGCTGAAAATTTTTACTGAAAATTTGGAAACTTATTTACAATGAAATATGTAGGTGCACGCTTAGATATATGATATATATCTAACCATGGGTGACGATTTGTCCCCTAATTATTTAGGATGGGATCAAAAAATTGCAATTAAAAAAACTAACACTTGTCATTTTGAAACCCAAACCACTCATAAATGTATTTATTAAGTAAGTTGATAGTTGATTTTCTTGTCAACAACGCCTCCCATAAAATGAATTGGTGCACCACTCGCTTCGAAAATGGATCGCATTTGTTCCACGACTTCCGGCACCTGAATTATTAGAAAACTGAAAATAGGACACATTTATGCACGAAAGTTAGATATTTTACTGACCACACGTCCCGAGATTTCGACGCGTTTAAATCCTCTACTTTCCAAGATGAGGTCTTCAATAAGCGGAGAAAAGTTAACATCGAAAAGTCAGCGTCGAGAAACTGGACAATATTACCTCCTGAAAGCATTCATTAATATACAGATAATCAATTAGTAGAAGTAGAATTGCAAATATTTTTTACTAAGTAGCTGACGTCATCTGCCTACGTCGGATATAAATGAAAAATGACTTTTTCCATTTATTGACCTACAGTGGCCAAACTTTCTGAGAATGTTTATGGTCCCTAGCAGGTCACGTAGGTCAAAGCATATTTTCTCATATTTGTCATATTTTCTGGTTTTGGGACATATTCATATTCCCGATCATATTTCGGGCTTTTTTCGTTCATTTTATCATTTTTGGCTAAATTCTAAGATTTGGCAACCAAACCGATAAAAAATTCCTTTTTCTCACAATGAATCATTGTGAGAAACTTTCAGAAATTTACGTTTACTTTCGCCTAAAGTGATTTAATTCATTGGGAATGAATTAAATCACCCTAGAACTTGTTTAATTGATAAAAATTGAGCATTACAGGAAAATATGTACATCAAAAAATTTAGCCAAAAATTTAAAAAATAAAGTCATTCTTATGGTCATATTTTGGGGATTTTTACGGTCATTTTTCATTCATATTTTGAGGTTTTATCGGTCATCACACGCTAAAGAATTAGGTGACAAATCAAAATCCAAGGAGGTACAATTTTTGGCTAATTATTACGTAGGTGTTTTGTCACAAAGATTAAATAAGCCCAAAATTCGCGTAACGCACCCTCGTGACGTCGTTATTTACAAAAGGTTGAGTATTTTTATTCAAGAATAAGACTTTTTGTACATAAAAATATCAATTCTTTTAAATAACGACGCCACGTGTCTTTGGTACACGTGTTCTTGACTTATTTCGACTTGCAGGCAAAACGTACCCGCAATTATTACCAAAATATAGCATTATAGTACCCCAACAAGTACCGCTTTATGTACACCGAAATTATTTAGAGTCTACATATTATACCTTTCAAGAAGGACACAGTCTTCAGTAGTTAAATCAACATGCAGGAATGTTGCATCGATTCTACGACAACATTGAACCGTTCCAAGTCCCAAATTTGGAAAATTTCCATTCCTTCAGGAATAGAAGAGTAGGTATCTATCTGCAATTATTTGCCGCTTTTCCTTTGACATGTCAAAGGTTACAGCGACTGTGGGGGTGGTTTGATAAGTGGTTTGATAAGTTGTGGCGGAGCGGAGGGATGAGAGGATGCGTGAGTTGTTGTTGGTGGTGGTGGTGGTGGAAGGGAGAGAAGGAGCGAGAGAGTGTGGAAACCGGTTGTTGGTGGTGGCGGTGGAAGGGAAGCGAGAGAGTGAGAGCGAGTGAGAATGAAAACCCGGGTCAGCTGAGTGTGGATATACGCATAAAGTGTTCTTACGTGTCCAGGGTTGGGAAGTTTATTCTTCTGTGGTTAAACGGAGGTCGATGGAAGACGGTGGACGGTCGATAAAAAATTTATACGATCCACCCGCCGTCTTCCACTGACCCCCTAGCCACAGTCTGCTTTGCTTTGAAAGATGAAGATGCCCTCTTTGATTTGATGTTGGTGGCTAGGAGGCGAGGGCTGAGCAAAGCAGACGGGAGTTACGCGCCGCCCATCTCAGCTGTAAAGCAACAAGAGATTAGTAATTTTTTCGAAGAAAAAACTCAGCTTTTTTGAGAGAAAGCTGAACAATAAACTTACATTTAGCTTAGAGATGTCGGGTCATATCTCGAATCCTGGGTTTGAGACGGCGTTCGAGATGGAAGATCATTGCCGATAGAATAACAACAACGACGAAGATAGGAATTGACCACCAATCTATAACAACAGAACTGTGGGGCTGTTAGTACGTATTTGATTTGACAAGAGTTGAGCGCCGAGCTTACCATGAAGGACTGTTGTCACTAGCTGATCTCGCGTAGAAGAGAGAACGATTGAGAAGTTCGCTACATTCTTCTCCTTTACAGGCGTGGTCGATGACAATTCCGGTTTGTTCATAGTTTGAGCAGGCATAGTTGATTGATAGATTTGTATAGAATAGTTTTAGAAATATGGAAGAGTTTCCTGTACATTCTATACAATAATCGGCGAGAGACCGATTTGAGCAAGTGGCAGTTGCAAAAAGTATGAATAGTAGAAGAGCCATTTTTACAGATTGTTTATACATCTTGGACAGCAGCTCAGAGAATTTAATGAACTGGGTTTAATTATTTTTTTGTAGTGTTTTAGAATTGATATATCGTTCTGTACAAGGTTGTTTGAATATTTCGATTGGAATTGTCGTGTTGTTAAGCCACGGGATTGAGCATGTAGCCAGGCTATCACCCAAATTCCGCAGTTCCTAGTAGATGAGCTTTGCAAAGTTTTAGAACTGGTTTCGATTATTTTAAATGTCGGTTTGAATAAATATTTTTCAGGTAAATTATTATAAGAATCAAAAAATCTAGCCACGATTTGGCCGTTGTGCCTGAATACGTTGAAACCACACCAGTGAATACCTGGCCCCGTACTTATATCAGTATTTATAACTATTGCTACTGGCAGTAAAGATAGGTTGACAAATTTAAGCTCGTCTCTTGCTATTACATAAATTTTTTTAAACTTTGAGTAACGAAGTAAATAACTTAGACAGCATGTAATTTGGTCAGAGTCCATATTATATAAGTGAAACGTTGTAATGGGAGTCAATTTCAAGGGTTGATTGAAATTGAGCAACAACTATACAGGTGACGGCCTCCGTGAGGCTTTTTGCAAATTTGAGGGAAATTTGAACGCTGCCGTGTCGCTCTGGTACTAAGCCGTATGCGGTGGGGCTTGGATTAATACTAAAGCATACCAAAAAGTTCCCATTAGCGTAATCTGTTCGGCTTAATCCGTGGTCGGCACCGAGTGTTCCGACAGCTGATTGTAAAGTATTAAATCCCATCAAGTAGAGTTTTTTATCAAAGTCAAAATTCAAGCTCTGGTAAACTTGGGCGTCTCCGTCTACTTTGACTTGAAGTTCAGAAATACCGAATGGGTCAAAATTGAAGCACGATTTGTTTTGAGTTCCTAGCGCTGCCTGAGTGCTCACAAAAGAAACAAGTAGATATTCTGGGAGTAGGTTTCTATAGAGAACTTCTGACAGTGTGGAGCTAGTGCCAACAGCTAGATTGAAAGTACGAATTTCAAATTGTTTTAGCGGATACTGGAATTTACGGTTACTTGACAGGAGTTTATGATGGTAGGCAATCACTGAGGGATAAACAACGTGTCTACGGACATATAGAACACACTCAGAGATGGACAACTTATATTTTGTGGTCGTCACGGAGGTGTCGAGACAAAATTCAGACGCGCTTCTCCGAAGTAATATCTTGGTATTGATTTGGGGTGGGAAATATTTTGGCGTTTCAAAGATACTTTCGCTAAGTCGACCAAGAATTTCAAAGGGAGCCGACGCAGTCGAGAATGCAGCCCTGGTCGTGAACCCAGAGTTGTCAGTGTCAAAGGTGTTTGCTTTGGTATCGGGATACCAAAACTCAGAAGTTGCGATAGTATCTTTGTAGCCCTTGTCTCTTGTTAATAATTTAAGAATGTGCGAACGGTAGGGCAGTAGAGTCGCGGTTTTTGACACCAAGCAGCCGTTCATGTCAATTTCGATGCCAGAAAAAATTGAACTGAGTAAATCAAAGCTTCCGGCGACAACATCAGTGGCGGTCCACGTTGCGCCGGTTGAACTAACTATTTTTAACTTTAAATAAACAAATGAGTCGTTAAACTGTACATAGTGAATCGAGGAACTAGGGACGACGAAGGAAATTGGGGTAGTGTCGTCCGAAATTTGATTGATGGGGTAGTAGCAGCTATATT